AGAACCTGAAAGGAATAAAGGCTGTCTGCTTGCACCTAGGCATCACTCTCCAGTCAGACAGGGGCAGCAGGACCGCTGCCAGAAACCCGAAGCCTTCACGTGACCCCAGTTTTCCTGTTGGGCTTAGTTTAAGCAGAGTCCTGCCTTGGATTAGAAAAGTCTCCCAGGCAGACTGAAGTGATCTAACAGGTAAATTGTGATATATATCACAGTATGTACTTGTATTTGTCAAGGCCAGTCAGCATTAGGGAGCTCCAGGTGACAACTTCGGGGCTCCCTTGCCCTTAGCTGTCCAGCATTAGCATGTAATTGTGTCCCAGGTGTTCATGAAGTCTCTTTGGCTTTTTGCAAAGCACCCCCTGGACAAAAACTGCCAGTCACTGGTAAAAAAAAACATGAGCTGAAAATGAAGCTAATCAGTCGCTCCAGTCCACATCATTTCAGGAAATTCCATATATAAAAGGTGAGCTTTGTTCCCAGAGGACGGGAGTGAATCTCTCACTGGCTCCTCCATGAAAACCAGCTCGGAATTGGAATCCTGCCAGCCACCCCTTCCCATCTGGGCGGCATACGACACGCGCCTGAGGGGAGCGGGCCACGGGCTGGGCGGCGTCTGCCTGGGCCGACCCACGCCGTGACCACAGGGCTTAGGCGGTGCGTGCAGTTCCGTCCCACTCTGATGGTTAGAGATGCCTAAACCCGGGATGGGGGGGAGGCGCCCAGGAGAGAGCAGGGCCCCGCCCAGCTTGCCGTACCTGGCTCCAGTCCCCCGCCTCCGTCCAAGTCCATCTCGGCGCTGGGTGCTCTGGTCTGCTGCAGGTAGCACCCGCTTTCCCGGTAGCAGCGCCCCGGTGGAACTGTGCCTTTGCAAGTGTGATGGCTGCGCAGCCACTTCAGAGGCCGGCTCTTCTGCTCCAGCTGACCCGTGATTTCCTAATTGAATACCCCAGATGGGCACCACCTGTTGTTACACCTTCCCCACCTCCCCCCAGTCTGTTTCCTGAATCTGACGGTGCTTAGCACACACCCAGAGTTTAAAATGCACTCTCTCTAAGCTGGCTTAGAATATAGTGCATTATCCTCTTTTCAGGAACATTTATTGGTTACCCACATGTGTATGGTATTCTAAACAAAGTGAAATGATGCAGGCCGTGCTCTTTAGAAACTTGCAACTGATAGGAGCTCGTGAGTTAGTGTCCTTGGGGACACACTAGTGAGGATGAAGGTAGAAGATTTTAGCCCCAAAGGGACATTAAAAGGTCACTTAAACCTACCCCTCATTATGCAGAGAGAAACTTGAAAGCAGGACGGGCTGCCTCCGTGGGCTGCCCAGCTGGTTCTGGACGTGCCACATTTCTGCAGGAGCGAATCCAGACCACCTCCTATGCCTTGTAAGCAAAGGTAGAAAATGATAGTGGGAAGCCTCAAATAAACGAAAAAGTTCATTTAAAGAAAAAAATAGGAGTGCAGAAAGGAATAAATTTCTGTAATCCGGGTATAAGGTCATTAGGACCAAATTACAGAAATGAGAATGGAAGGAAGCAGTTGGAGGAGGGTTTGACATTTCACAGGCTCTGAAGAGTGATGTGCAGTCCCCCAAAACAAGGGCTGTCCAGATTATTTGCAAACCCTTCACCAAGAGATAGAATTATGATCGTAGAGATAAGTGTCTGTCGTCAAAGATATGTGCAGTTACAAACAGGTGGGAGCACCCGCGTGCGGAGGCCTGCGGCAGTGTCTGCTGGCCTCGGCCAGCGCACAGCTAGGGAGATGCTCTGGGCTCGGGTAGCAGGCAAGGCGGTGTCAGTGCCCCGCCACATAGAAAGGCATCTGTTAGTAATGACAACGGCTGACCTCAGAGCATGTGAATTAGAGTGGGGGTGGGGGGAGCTGCAAGAGGGGTCGAGTTTGAGCTGGGAAAATGCTTTACTATATACATAATCGACTTTGTGCTAGGCTGGGGCTGGATTAGAGCGCGCCCATCCCATTCTGTCCCTCTCCGCTGTGATCCTGCAGTCAGCTGCAGGGTTATAGATGAAGTGACAAGGATGGTATCTTGATTGTATCCAGCTGCCTGGAGCAAGGCCAGGGCAGAGGGGCCGCTGCAGCAGCAGCACTCACGAGGGCTCCAGAGGCATCTGAACCCCAGGACACCTCCGATGCTCTGAGGCGGCCGGGTTGAGCATGCTGTGACCCAGTGTCACCAAGTTGAGGGACTCCGCAGAGAAGTCTGCTAAGTGATGGAAGTCACTAGCTTGAAGAGGACTGAAAGATGGCCATAAACTGAGCCATTATGACTACTGCTGCAGACGGGGTTGTGGGGGAATGAAAACAAGAACCCTTTGGGAAAGCAATTTGAACTTTCTTTGCATAGATTAAAGAGCTGTGTTGACTCAAGGTAAATGGGGGGGGGGCGGGCAATGGAACTTCCACCTAGCAGAGGTACCCACTGAATGGAGGCCCCTTCTGCTGCTTTCTTCCACTCGCCATCCTGATGGTCAGTGACCTGTGCTGAAGTCCTCCCCAGCCCCTTGAGTGACATGAGGTGGATCAGTAGCTGTGCTACTGGTGTGATGCGCAGGCAGGTGCGAGATGCTCAGGAGAGGAACCTGGCAGTTCATCTTGAGGGCGCCCCACCCCCGGCCCACAAGCCAGTCAGAAGTTGGGCACACATGTTGTGGTGTTGCTCTGGCTCTATAAAACTGTAATGGTATCATATTATTTTAATCTGCTGAAACGCTAACCCCAGAGTGGAGAACACAGCAGTGGTAATACACATCTGAGGAAATGTTTGACATGGCTTCGTGTGTCTGCAACTATTATGGTGATGCCTGCAGCCGATTAACTCTGTTGGTTACAATATGGTGTTAATGAGGCCAGGGTTGTGGGTTTGAGGGCCGTGTTAGGTGAGCTGGCTTCGCCCCAAGGAAAGCCCTTTCACAACCTCAGACCACGCTCAAGACCTAGGTCAGACATCCCGTAAAACATGCAGGGCTGGCGGCCTGGGTCCCTGCACTGCCAGGGCTCCGCGAATATCCCTTTACCCTCTCTGGAAAAGTCATTTTAAGAAACATGTGCCTTGGTGGTGGTGAATGATTACTGTGATCTTCACATGCAGAGGATATTGCGTTGTTATTAATGGTTGCTGTTGATAACTACTGTCACAGACTTCCTTTCTGATTTAGGGAGTAACTGGCTGAAGAAAGGAGAAAGGGTATTTGGTTCCCTCCTTCCAGTCTCAGCATTCCGCCTGCTGAGATTTTGCCCACGAGGCATTCACCAGCAGGGGGCGCTGTCAGAGCCACGCCCTGCTTTTTGTGCTTGTGACACTATGCTGAGTAAGATTCGGTCTTTAAATTCTCCGGAGGAAAATAACTAATAAATGAGTAGAACCAAATAACCAAAGCAATCTCACAAAATGGAAAATTGATGGGAAAAAACATGGGGGTGTGGGAGTGATGAAGAATGGCAGCTTGATGAATAATGGAGGATGGTGTTTACCTTGATACATGGGGCTGAAAAGACCTCAAAGTAAATGACATTTAAGCAGAGCCCTGACTAACAGGTAGGAACCAGCCTTTGAAGAACTGGAACAGCATTCACGCCAGCAGAAATAGCAGGCTTGAAAGACTTGCCCTCTAATTTTGGCTAAAGAAGAGGTAGGTTCTGTAAATGAAGGAAAAGGTGATAAAAGAAGACTGGGAGTGTGGGTAAGCCCTTTAGTACATGTCAGGAGTGTGTGTGTTTGTGTGGGTGTATGTGTGTGTGTGTGTGTGTGTGTGTGTGTTGGGATGGAGTCTTAGAGCCCATAGGTTGAATCGCCCTGTACAGAGCATCCTAAGTTCCTTTAGGAATGGTTCTTTTAGAAATGTTCTGTAAACAATGACTTGGAAGGGCAGGAGCAGAGGCAAGAAGAGAAATTCGAAGTCTGTTACAGCAGCCTGGGTGAGTGGTGATAGGGTTTGAGCTAGGTTGGGCAAGAGAAATGAGAGAGGTAATCAGAGGTAGGACTGGCTATGGATTGAATGTGGGGAAAGAGGAAAAGGAGGGAATACAGACGAACTCCTGGCTTTTGTGCTTTGAGTGATTATATAGAAAAGAGTGGTTTATTTGGGGCTATGAACCCAACCAAGAATTAAACTGTGGGCATGTTAAGTGTGAGATTCCTGTTATTTGTCGATTGGAGATAGTAAGTTAATTGTTGGTTATCTCAGGAATGTTCAGGACCAAACACGCTATAGACAGTATTTAAAGTGATTGAAACTAGATGGAATTACTTAGGGAGTTTGGAGAGAAAACAGTGCTCATAAGAGGCCTGTTGAAACTGTTGTGTAGAGGATAAGGAATTATGTTGTACAGAACTGGGCCCATGAACCGCTGGTAAATTGTGAGAACTCATTAGTGGAATGAAGGAAAAAACATAGGGAGAAAAGGTATTGGAAATATTTTACAGTTTCATTCAACAGAACTGTATCTAAGAACCTTCCCAAATGTAGGCATCAATTGTTTGTGTTACAGATTATTGATTCAAGCCAATTTTCTATACTTAAGCCTTCCAGAAGATCTTAAGAATGGATATGTGCTCAGAGAAAAGAGATTTAGTTTTTAGAAACAGATAACTTTTATAAGTTTTTGAAGTCATCAAAATGTAATACAGATCAGGACAGGACAGGGTTCCATTTACTCCTCTCCTAAGAATGGAACCTACCTCCTTAATCCTGTGTTAAGAGATCACATACCTTGACCCAGTTCAGCAAGTTACTAAACACTGCTTGCTATTTCCAAGCAAGCACAGGAAGCTGTGAGGAAATCAGTTAAGTTCTAGCTTTGAATACCTGGAGGAATCACGAGCTCTGTTCAGTTGAACCTCTCAGAAGCCCATTAGACCTTAGTTGTGAAGGTTTGAACCTAGGAGGTCTCTCAGCTCTGAGCCATGCCTCAGCTCTGTGCATGGCTGTTGTCTAGACTGGAGGATTGATGGCTGATGCTTTCTGTCCTAGGTCTGGCGGGAGTTTCCTGACCGGTTGGTGGGTTATCCAGGTCGCTTGCATCTCTGGGACCACGAGATGAGTAAGTGGAAGTATGAGTCCGAGTGGACCAACGAGGTGTCCATGGTGCTCACGGGCGCAGCTTTCTATCACAAGGTGAGTGGGGCAGCCGGAGTCATCAGGTCTGGGCTGGCTGAGCTGAAGGATGCTACTTGTTATATTTGGCCCAGGTTAACTTTTGCTGAGCTTAGGAAAAACCTTCCTACTTGGAAGGCTTAGAAAGGTCATGTTGTATAATAGATTTTCAAAATAAAGTTATTTTTCTAATTATAATTATGCTAATAATAATTATGCTTATAATAGAAGAATGCAAAATTCACAACAAATTTTGTAGTATAAGAGAAGTTACTTGTCCTGTCTCTGAGATAACCATTGTTAGTGTTTTTAATGTTTTTTTCAGTTTGGCTTTCACTTAATTATTTACTGACACTCAATTATAAGTATTCTCACTAGCCTGCTTTGTTCATGTGTTAGATCGTGAGCTTTTGTCTATGTCATTAACATTTCTTCATGAACAATTTGTCTTTAGCATAGTTGTTAATATATGGTTACATTAATAATCCATAATTCCTAAATCTCGTTTAAGTATTCCCCTGTCATTGGACAGTTTGTTTCTATTTTTTGCTATTTTACATAATGCTTAATAGCCGACTATGGCCAGGAAGGAGTCTGCGCTACAGCACGTGTGGTCATTAGGACAGCGTCCTGGCAGGGCCGTAGCAAAGGGAGGAATTGGCATATTGATTTGTTTGTGGTTTGTGCGCTATTGCTACCAACTTATACTCTCCCCAGCCACTGTAAAACTAGCTTACAGTGCTCTCTTGCTCTCTTTGTATGAAATGTGTAAAAAAAAAAAAAAAAAAATCCAGCTTAGCTATTTTAGTGAGTGAAAATAGGAATGACTATCTATCTTAACTTTGATTTGATGCCAGTCATGTTGAAATTCCTTTTGTGTTCTTACTCGCCTTTGTAAAAACTTCCTCTCCTGAGAGTTGTCACTTCGTGTTTTAATGCTCTTTTTTAAATTGGAGGGAGACTGAAGGGTGTGCATTGGACTTGACAATACTGGCCCTGACAGCAGAGTCCTCTCTGGCAGTGTCTGCTTTAAATAGCCAGCAGTGGTTGTCCAGCCGCAGCCAACTCTGTTCCACCACAGTTAGTTTAGCTGGGCTATACTATATCTAACGTAGCTGTGGCTTCATTATCTCAGCATAGTTGCCCTCCTATTTTTCCAGGTCTACATCCGTAAAGGGGCTCTTATTCTTTAAATAAATAGGGAACTAGGATTTCTAATTCTTGGAGTTGATGGCGTAGTGTGCACACCCTTCCCTTTTGTGTGTGTGAATTTCTGCACTATTTCATGTGTAGGTTTTGGTGGTTTCAAGAGCGCCTCGTTTTTGTCTTAACGTTAGACACCCATACCCTTGCAGTCAGCCCACCATTCCTTTATCTCTGTTTCTGCTCGCCCTCTGTGGAGGGGGAGGGCAGGTCCGTGGCACGGGGGCGCGTCAGTGAAGATGTGCTCCGTGTGCCGGGCAGTACCAGGTGGGCATGGCCCTCTCCGGCTGCAGGGCCCGCGTGCTGCGAGGACGCGCACTCTGTCCCCCTCTGGTTACATAGCTACTTTATAAAGAACCCGGCACTGTGGCTGCTGGTCCCTGCCGGGAGCTTCCTACTGCCCGGCCTTTGATCAACCTCACAGAAACAGCAGTTCCCTCTGGGCTGTGACTAGGGTGCTGTCAGAGCCAGAGAGGCTGCTTTGAATGTTTCAGATGTCAAACATTTGGTGTTTCTTGTTTTTGTCTCACCTGACAGTATTTTAATTACCTGTATACCTACAAAATGCCTGGGGATATCAAGAATTGGGTGGACGCTCACATGAACTGTGAAGACATCGCCATGAATTTCCTGGTGGCCAACGTCACGGGGAAAGCTGTCATCAAGGTGGGAGGCGACTGGCCCGGCTCTGCCACTCCTGTGCTTGTGCTTTTGAGCAGGTCTCCCCTCTCTGAGACCAAGGACTTGGGTGTAGGTGAACTTGATGCTCCCTTTTGGCGCTATGATTTCTATGGTTGACACTGTCACAGTGTCAAACTAAAGCCAGGCTTTGATAGTTTCAACCTATTTTCCTTTTTGATACAGTTTTCTTTAGTACTCCTTTTTAACCTCCAGCTCATAGATGAGGACTATGATGTTCAATCTATGAATCAAAAATTAAATTCTATTCTCAAAGCTAACTTGGAATCTCATTCCATTGAAGGATGCAATTTACACCCTAATGTGCCCGATTTTTAATGTTTATAATTATTGAGAAGCTAGTATACTTTATACAGTGATAACTGTAGTTGTCCTGAACATTGTCTATATATACCTATATAATTGTCTATATATACCTACATATACCTATATACCTATAATTTTCAAAAGCACCCTTCCCTTAGCATATTAAAAGCTGAAAGTACACAAAGATCCCATAATAGATGTCTATTCTTGGAATGTAGATTATGATCAAATCAGATGCCCAGATAGGTAGAAAGAACACTTCTTTATATGAGTAGCACTATCTTAACCTTTTCTCCATCTGGATTAGAATTCCATGTATGCAAGTGGGCAGTCCTTCTAGGCTAGGTCCCTGTACTAGAATCTTCTGTGTTGGAAGTAGCATAGCCTCCCCACTGATTTCTCACGCAATGTATTAGTTGATGCGAGGAACCAGGTTAAGCCCAGGTGACCATGGCAAGAAAGGAGTCACTCTGCACTCTCTGGCTTTGACCCAATCCTCCCCTGGCCCCGAGCTCTCTGACTCAGTGAACAACTCACTACAAGAAAAACCGAGGAATGTAAGTCCTTTTTGACGTGCTTCAAGATGTTTCTGGCCATGCCTGTCTGAGATGATCATTTCGGGTGTCTGTTTGTCTTAGCCTGGTCTTAGTTATCTCGCTTTTGTCCCCTCCCTTCTGCCACTGCTTATTTACTTTTACTGAATTAGGATAAGCAACTTCCCTGTGTTGTTAGAAAAATCATTAGAAGTTTAAGGTCTGAGAGGGTTGAGGGGACAGTCAGGAAGATTCATGGCATAAGTGACCATTTGAGTTTTTCCCTGAGTCAAAGAAGTTGCAAAATAACCTGGTGTCTTCAAGACCATAGTGCTGCTCAGAGCATCTGCCGTTAGCTGGAAGGAGGCGAGAGGGCCTGCTGGAACTAAGGTTACGGTGAAAGTTATGGGAAGCTGTATTTCATCGCCCTTATGGCTGCAAGAACAAATGGTGTTTATACAAGGACCTTGGCAGTGAGAAAACAGTCATTAAACAGGAATTAAGGAGCTTGTCATCACCACTTCTTTCCAGTTGCAGAAGGCAAAAGCCCTCCAAACCTCTTTTATTGGGCCCTTGTGAGTTCTGCCCTTGGCTGAGCCAGACGGAGTGAGTGAAGGAGCGTGAGGTGTGTGCGCAGGGCAGGCCCCTCCGCTGCCGGGCGCGGTGGTGGCACACATGGCGCTGTGGGCCTTGGCACTGACAGCCGTATACGTGTTCTCCTCTGGCAGGTAACACCACGGAAGAAATTCAAGTGTCCTGAGTGCACAGCCATTGATGGGCTTTCACTAGACCAGACACACATGGTGGAGAGGTGAGTGAGCGGTAACAAAAGACTGCCCTGGCCTCTGCTCCCCATTTCCTGCCTGGGCCTGTTTATGAGACTCTTTGGGAGATATAAGGATAGCAGCTGGTAGCCATAGTCACCTCCTTTTGCATTGTGAGAATTGGGTTAGTTCAAGCCCAGGTCACCCAGAGAATTAATTTGGAATGCTACTCATGCAATTTGTAATGGCTGGAAGGGTCTTAAAAATATAGCTGGCCTGAAGCTCCAGAAGCCAGGTTTTCCATGTGGACTAAGCAGTTAACCATCCACAGTCATTTGAGTGGAAGCTGGTTAATTCCGGGGAAATACTGGATTGTTTTTCAGACTAATATTGCTACTTTATAGTAAAAGTTTAATTAGAAAGAATTAAACCGACCCCACCAGAGGCAGATCACCTTTGAGGACACC